GGGACTGGAGAGGGAAGGAGCATTATTTTCAAGGTAAAAAGAGCTTTGGAGCTGGATGGTGGTAATGGTTGCACAATGGTATATGAATTTGCTGAATTTTTTTTTCAGTACTGGGATTTGAACTCAGGACCTTACACTTGCCAGGCAGGCAGGTGCCACTGAGATAAATCCCCGGCCTTGTGCTTAATATTTTTGAACTGACTAAAAGCTTTGTAGCAGTAATTTAAAGTTCAAGTAATTTGAGTTCAAGACAGTTTTCACCTTTAAACATTCAGGAGAGCCTTGAAGACTATGTGGCTATATCTATTCATATTTACCACATAGAACTAAAAATGTTTTTGAAATATTTATTGATAGACTAAAGTAATAGTTGTGGTGGTCATGGTGGCACACACCTGTCATCCCAGCACTAGTGAGGCTAAGGCAGGAGGATCAGTGCAAGTTTGAGGCCAGCCTGGGCTACCAAATGAGTGAGACCCTGTCTCAAAACAAACAAACAAATCAGTAGAAACCTATGACCTAAGGAAAAGAAAGAAGCCCATTACCTTCAGACATAAATAACATTTGTACTAAAAATTAAAAGGGGTGGGTACCTCATTTCCTCACGGAAATAGTCTTGTCTGATCATAGTTCTTTTTATCCCCCTCAGTACTGGGAATCAGACCCAGGACCTGTGCATGCTGAGCAAGTGCTGCACTACTGAGCCACATCCCCCGACCTTTTTACTTTCTATTTTGAGATGGCATCTTGCTCTATTACTCAGACTGGCCCTGAACTTGTGATCCTCCTGCCTTAGCTTCTGGAGAAGGAGCGATCACAGGCATGCAGCTACATGACTGGCTTGATTATTGTTCTTAAATCCAAGAAAGTTCATGTTGATTTCCCAAATTGCAAAATTAGAAGTAGAATTATTTTCTGTTTTCATTTTACCACATTTTTATTAATTTAGTTCTTGACTTTTAGCACAATACAGAGACAGCAAAATATGTTAGGGACCTGGAAATAATCTACAGCTCGTAATTTCAGAGCTTGTTTTAAAATTTCCCCTCTTTTTTTGGTACCGGGTATTAAACTCGGGTCCTTGTGCTTGCGAGGCAGGTGGCAGAACCACTGAGCTAAATCCTAGGCCCAAAATCTGCCCTTTTACGGGTTGACAGTTGTCATTTTGGTATTGCATATACACGTTAGTCAAAGTTTCTATCACTAAAATAATTTATACATTTTATAAACTATTCCTATTATTTTTTATTTCTATGGGTTCTGGGGATTGAACCTAGGCCTCACACAGGTGCTCTACCACTGAACTACATCCCCAGAACTCAAGTCTTATAAAGTATATTATTTTAAAACTTTATGCTATTTCCAAAGAGTTTCCCCTCTGAACACCAGTCATGGATCTCAGTGTCTACCAGGCGGGTCTGGCCTGTGAGAGCTCAGAGCACGGAACGCTTGTCCTTTCTCAGGACAGAGGAGGATGCATTTGGGTTTTAGAAACGAATGCATATTGTCAAGAACTCTGAACATAAAAGCCTCAAGTGGCTTCCACCTTGAGAAACCCTGTGGGAAAACCCCAAAGTTCTGTTTGCACAGCCCAGAAAAGTGGTCTCTGCGTGGCCCTTGAGCCTCCTGCTTGAGCCACACATGCTGGGCTGTGCTCCCGGGCCGCCTGTGGTCCCCTCTGTCCTGATTGCTGACCCCAGTGAGGCATCACGAAGTAGTTTCTGACTGTGAAGGATATCAGACAAGCACTTTTCAGAGTGTAAAGGAAAGCAGCTTATTTTGAAGTGTGGGCTAGGGCAGGCGCAGTGAGGGAGGTGGGAAAGAAATGTAGGTCTCTGCCCACCCAGTTCCCAAAGGTGCAAATCATAAAGGGCCCTCGTTGGGTCCCCTCGTGGGTGAGAGGACTCGGACTCCAGCCTGATTTTCCAAACCGCTCTCCTCCCGTCCACTCCCAGAGTCTCGTGCTGGCTCCTTGCTCAGATCCTCCTCTCTAGGGTGAAGATAGCCATCAGCAGGGCAGAGGTCAGTGCACAATTTGGTATCTGAGATGAAAGTGCTATACCTCAGCTCTAATTTGGAAAATTCCAGAGAAAGACCAGGTCAGGCTCAGTCCCACGCCAAAAGGGACAGACGGTAGCTGGGGTGGGGTTGGGAGCAGTGTAGCAGCATTTTTTTCTAAAAAATGGCCAGATAATGTTGTACAAGAGGAGTCAGAATGTTAGATTTATTCTACAGTGAAGGAAATGATTTTAAACAGGATTTTTTCCTCTACATTTCTCCTTTCACCAAGGGCATTGTGCTGATGTGAAGAGATGAGTAATAATCTCTTAATAATCTTGGAAGATCAAGTGACCTCATCTTTCTGTGCCTCAGTTTCTTCTTAATAATTTTATATTAATGTTGCTTATTATTGCTATATTTCATGCGGTGGCAATGAGGATTGTTTTTGGAAGAGTGTCCCATACACAGTGTTAACTAAAAGTCCACAGGACAGGGACCAAATGGGCTGACAGCCTGAAACTCCCACTGGGATAGGGTAGAGGCTGGGAGGATGGATGAAGCCCACTCATGAGGTGGAGTGGGGTTTCTCAAGACCCTGAATTGAAACCACAGGTGGTAACCAAGGCAAACCTGTCAGCCTGAGGGTCATGCAGCTGTCCTGAACCAAGGGCATTGTGACCCTGTCCTCTGTGAACATTTAGAAATGTAGAGGTGGCAGGTAACAACTGACATCAAGAGTAGGATGTTGGTGGCATCCAGTGTCTGGGGATTCGGCACGTGGAACAGTTCTACACAAAGATTTAACTGCCTGAAATTACCTACACCATCACTGTTGATGGAAAGAAACAGAATAACTTCAAGAGGCTGGACCAGAGTCACCGCAATGAGAAATCAAGTCATCTTGTGGCTGGGGTCAGTCATCACACCATGGGGCCTCTAGCTGCCTGGCTTAAGGAGGGTTCCTGCCTCTGAGAGACAGAAGGGACTCTGCGTGCACCAACACAGGGAGTGCTCAGCGTGGCGCCTGACACCTGTCAGTGTGTGATCAAGGGCAGCTACCATGATCACCGTTGTCACCAGTAACACTGACAGAAGCCAATGAGGGAATTTAGATCTCATCAGTTGGAACCTCAGCCTAAAGAAAGCAAGGTCTGGGACAAGGCGTTACAGTGCACAGCCCAGTGGGAAACAGAGCTGCTTGTCGGTGGGACCCAGAGTGTCTTTCTGTGTGGAGGAGGAGGAGTGGGGACAATGACAGCCTCATCACTAAGGAGTAGCATTCTAGCTGGCAAGCAAGAACAAAAAGCAGTAATAGGCATAGTAGGTTACAGTTAAGCAAATCATACTTACATTTGGTTCTGTATGCAGGGAAAGCCAAAGTCTGAAAGGACAGGGCTGAAGTATTCATAGTGGGAATCTGGGAGATGGAAGTATGAATTTTATAAAAATCATGAATTTCTTTTGAATTAACCAAAAACCCTTAGTCCTAGGTGATGTGAGACAGTATGAAATTCAGAGTTAAGAGTTCTGGAACAGAAATGGAAAATCATGTGTTGCAGAATAGTATTTGACAGATACATAAGAAGCGGATGTGGGGGCTACCACAAGATGGACAGAGTCAGATACACGGATGGAGAAAGACCCCAGGGAAGAGCTGTGAGCAATAACCCACAACTGCTTCCCAAGTCTCTATCTGTGCTGCACCCTGCTTTGTGGTTCTGCAGCTGGACCCTTAGCTATTTCTCTCTGATCGGATGGTGAAAAGGGTTAGGCTTCCAGACACTGGAGAAAGATCCTCCTAGCCACAGATGGGTGTTTACTCCAGAAAGAAAGCCAAGATTGGCCAGATAAAGGGTGAGATAATTATGCAAGATCTTAAGCTGGACCAAGCAAGAGAGGAGCTAGTCTGTGAACTGAAAGACCAGCCAGAAATCTCGGCACTGCTAGGGATCATGGAGGTTCTCAGCCTAACATAAACCCTGCACTTTGGAGTGCTCTCCCTTCTTTCCCAGCCTTGGCTCTGACAGCCTGGACCTTCCTGACAAGTTCTGGCCCCTGGTAACATCCCTCAGGATGTTCCTCCTAATCCCACCACCTCTTCCTCTCCGAGACAATATGTATCCTAATTGTTCTTCAAAAGACTGACTGCACACCCCTTTGGTGAGTTTTTCCTACTGCTTCTCCCTCCTACTTAATAACTTTCTCTTTTACCTTTTGACAGCCTGCATTCCATGCCTTACACTTTGGAATTGGGATTCCCAAGCATCTTTGTTCATCTTTTCTATTAGACCGAACTTTTCTTTGTTTTGTTTTTTCTTTTAAAAAGACAGGTTCTTTGTTTCTACTGCCTGCCTCACAAGAACAAGGTCCCAAGTTCAATCCCTGGCACTAAATTAAAATAAAATAAAGCAAAACAAAAAGACAGGGTCTTGCTGTATGATCAAGGCTGGCCTTAAACTCTCTATGTAGCCCAAGCTAGCCTGTAACTTACAAACCTCCTGCCTCAGTCTCTGGAATGCTGGGATAACAGGTGTGTGTGTACCATCAGAGCTGATTTGGGCTGAACTTCTTAATCCTCCCAGAGCCTAACAGGCTAAGTAGAACATAGCAGAGGAACCTAAGAAAGATATGTCTAGAAGGAAGAACTGCACTGCAGATATCTTGGGAAGGAGGGATAATATTAGTTGGGTGAATAAAACTCTCGGAATTAGTAGGTCTTATTGTTCAGGGAGGTTAGCGTTGTGGTGTTTCTGGTTTAGATGGTGGCTATCTAAGATCTATTCCGATGATGTGTACCGCCACAGTCACTTTCCACCTCTGCATGTCTGTCTGCTGTTTCTCTGCGTGTGTGGGGTACTGAGGATCAAACCCTGGGGACACTGAGCTGCATCTTCAGCCTTTTCTTATTTTTATTTTGGACAGAGTCTCACTAAGTCGCCCAGGCTGGGCTGGAACTTGCAATCCTCTTGCTTCAGCCTCTTGAGGAGCTAGGATCCCAGTCGTGTCCCACCCTGCCTGACTTCTCCCCTTCGAACACATGCTGTGTGCAGGGTTGGGGATTAGGATCTACTGCCAATCGGTCTGCTTTGGGTACAACCAAAATACATGAAGGAAGACATCTCCACTTATCTTGACATTCTTCTCACCGTCCACTTCAGTCCAAGCGTCCTCTTAGCAACAGGGAGGAGAGACTCAGCACCCAATGCCCAGAATGTCCACCGCCTGGTGGCAGCCAGAGGGGCCAGGCTGCTCCTCCTGGGCCCCCGAGCGCATGTGAATTGTGATTGGCCCGTGGCCAGGGCTCATTAGCATACTGTACCCTGACCTGGAATAGCGCACCGTGTCTGCTCAGAAAATGACCCGCGTCTGCTGGGACCTGCGGCACCGATGAGGTTTGATGAGGTTTGTCTGCATCTGGATGAGGAATTGAAAGGTAAGGAAGCAGGATTAGCGAGGAGAGGCAAGGGGAGGGGAGGTGATGGCCACCCACCCCCAACAGGGTGGTACTTGCTCCAGTTCATTTTCTGTAGGAACGAAGAAAACCCAACGCACTCTGGCCAAGGTGCTTTCACAAAGCCTTGACTGATTCCCCTTAGTTAGCCAGTGGGGTGGCACACATCTATAATCCCAGCACTCGGGAGGCTGAGGCAGGAGGAGTGAGGCTGAGGCAAGAGAATTGCTGTGAGTTCAAAGCCAGCCTGAACTGTTTAGTGAGACTGTCACAAAACACCAAAAAACAAAAATTTCATTTATTTTTTTTTTCATTTTATTCTAGAGAAAGACTGAGTTCTCTTGTCTAAGGGTTGTAGAACAGTCCTTTTTTTTTCCCCTGTGTTTTCTTCCTTTCTATGTTCTTGATCATCAGGGAAATAAATGAATGCTCATTAATTTGTCAAAAGTTTATATCAGAAGATCTATAAAAACAACATAGTCTTCCTGCGGTAAGATTTTCCCCCTCTCCTGAATTTAAAATTGAGTAAGACAATTATGTCTATATAGGATCAGGTACAAACTATGTTTGTTGTTTTTCATTTATGGGTTTTTTTTTGTTTTGTTTTGTTTTGGTTTTGGTACTGGGGATCAAACTTGGGACCTTGTGCTTGTGAGGCAGGCAGTGGAACCACTGAGCTAAATCCCCGGCCCCAGTGTTTTTGATTTTTTAAAATATAAATGTTTTCTAAAGTTTTGTGGGGTTTTTTTTTTTTTTTTTTGGTACCGGGGATCAAACTCAGGACCTTGTACTTGTGAGGCAGGTGCCGTGCCACTGAGCTAAACCCCTGGCTGTTTTCTAAAGATTTTTAAAGAACAAATCCATTCTGTGTGTGTGTGTGCATGTGCGTGGCGCCCGAGACTGAACCCAGGGCCTCACTCATGTGCTTTACCACTGAGCTATGCCCTCAGCCCTAAAATCAAATCTATTCTAGTTAGTGGTGATGCATTTTGGTCAATCGGAGTTACTGTTGTTACTATTCAATGAGGTAAGCACAAGAAACTGCTGCTTGATGTCTTTTATATTAGTTATTTAAGGCCTATGATCTGGGTGAGCGCAGCGGTTTATGCCTGTGATCCTTCCTACTCTGGAGGCTGATACAGGAGGACGAAAAGTTCCAGGTTAGTCTGGGTAATTTATGGAGATCTTGTCTCAAAAAACAAAAATGGGTAGGGATAGCTCAGTGGCAGAAGACCCTTAGTTGGGGTTACACTGCTGCTGGCTCAGGACAGCCTAGCCAGACCCTCAGAGCTGACAGATTTGCCTCGGTTACCACCTGTGGCAGTTCAGGGCCTTCGGATACCTTGTTCCACTTCATGAATCGGCTTCTTCCATACAAACTACCTTGTTTATCTTCCCAGGATCTATCCTATCCCAGGGAGGATAGCCTCTGTCTATTTCCCCAACACAGAATCTTACTTCAAGATTGTGGCATTGGGCCAGGGCCTAGCTCAGTAGTAGAATACTTGCCTAGCGTGTGCAGGGCCTTGGTTTGACCCCTAGCACCACAGAAAACAAGAAAGAAATGAAACAAAACCCCTCTGGAGGGTTTACTCCTGCAAGTCAGTTTGTGAAATGGGGAGCAGCAGTGTCACCTGCCTTGAGTTTAAAGGTGGGACAGAGAGGGAAGAGTTCAGCTCACCTTGGCACTCGATGATGATGACTCCGTGACAGATGATGGTGTGGTGGAGAGTCGCAGACAACCAATGAATGACTAAAGCCCAGTGCTTTCAAGACTTGCCAAGGCTCAGACTATTGATGTAACAAGTGGTTTGAGTTTATCATTGGGTGGCTCTGTATAACATCGTCATGTCCCTGGTGTCAGAGTCCCAACAAATGAGAGAAATGTTACACACATGAACACTTTTCACTACTTCCCTTTCTTTTAAACGGTACTGAGGATTGAACCCAGGGACACTTTACCAATAAACTGCATCCTTGGCCCTTCTTATTTTTTGTTTTGAGACAGGGTCTTGCTAAGTTGCTCAGGCTGGCCCCAAACTTGCAATCCTTCTGTACTAGCCTTCTGAGTAGCTGGGAACCAGGCCTGGCTGTACCTTTCACATTGTATCTTATTAATAAGCACATTTTATCTGCAAAATGTTTCATTTTTTTCCCTCAGAGAAATATTTTAAATCTCCTTCTTCTTTCTTTCCTCCCTTCTCTCTCTCCCTCCCTCCTTCCCTCCTAAACCCTTTTTAATCAGTTATAGTTGAAAATTGGAATAAATGCAGCTTGAACAAACACTTTTGAATATCATTTACATAATGCAGTTTAATCAAAGAAATGAGACGGGATGTTCTTGAGAGGTGGGGCAGAGTGTTATTACTGAACATAAACTCAGAAAAATCATAGAGGAGGCTTTGGGGTAAAGAAAGATGAAGAAGCACTAGTTTAGAGCAGCTCTCAGTGTGCAGTTTTAGTCCCTGCCCCATGGACAGGTGTCTGGCTATACCATCGTCTGGCACAGATCGAAAGTGTTGGGGTCCAGCCACTGACCCCTGTGGGAAGAGCCCAGGGACGCTGCTGAATGTTCTTCAGTGTGCAAGGGTCCCCCTGATAAAGAACTGCCCCTTTCAAAATGTCAGTAGGGCTGTGGTTAAGCAACCCTGTTTTGGAGAAACCTGACAGGCATAAGGATACCTGTTGATGCCATTTAAACGTACACAGCACAGACAGGTTGCACTGAGGACACCAAAACTAACCCCTGTGGCAATCTGGATTAACAGATACTCAGATCAATCCGGTGAGATGTTCCCCTCTTGCGACTTCAACCATGTTAGCCAATTTACGAAGACATTTTTTTGTGGAACAAGTCCAAGCCAATTCTTCTTCTGAAGAAGAAGGTCCTACCCATTGGCCACAGATAACAGCAGTTTCGACGAAGGCGTTCCTAACCTGGGGACAGCAGCGACAGAGGCACAGACCTCAGGGCAGCGGCGTCTCGGCGTCGATCTCCCTGCTCTGACTCCCTAGGGCTGCCTCCCACTGTCCTTTCTCTGTTCCTGTGTTGGTACTTGCAGCAATGTCAGTGAGCCCTATTTCTGGCAGAAAGGCACAGTTTTAATTGCTCGAATGGTCAGTGTTACCACCATTCCTTTTTTTAAAGCCAGTTTTCAGGTCTGAACGGCTGGAGTAGACTGAGCCACCATATCCAGAGCCTCCAAGAGCAAAACTCCCAAGCCCACCTCAGCGAGCCTGGGTGACCTGGCCTCATCATGGAGCCCAGTGACTTCGACTCTGAAGACAAAGAGCTGCTGAGCTGGGACATCAATGACATGAAGCTGCCCCAGGTATGCCCTTGCTTGGGGGGCTTCGCGGCCCTGCCTCTCTCTGCCAGCACTCTGAAGGGACTGGAGAAAGCTGCGGCTGGGCCCGCTCCGAGCTTCAGCCCAGGGTCCCATTAGGGAATTTGGAGTAGAAATGCAAACCCTGTGATCTGGGTGGCTCTAACCAGCAGTTGTAGACCGAGACAAAGGTGGTGCTGTTTCCGTCCTCTCTCAACGCGGGCAGGGTCCACGCTGCAGCCCCCCCGCCCGCCTCCCTGTCTTGAGAAAACCCATGATCGTTTATGTGCTGGCAGTTTGACTCATTATGCACAAGCCAGCCAGACATGGTGACAAACACCTGTAATGCCAGCACTCGCGAGGCTGAGGCAGGAGGATTGCCCGAATTTGAGGCTAGCCTAATTTATATAGTGAGTTCAAGGACAGCTTGAACTACATAGTGAGGCCCTGTTTCAAAAAATAAATTACACAAAAGCTCCTCTACTATCTTATTTGCTGTAGCAAATGTTTTAAACTAACCTATAGCGGAAATGTCCAGTTCTTACAGAGCTTCTGTAAATGCTGTACACACACAGTGGTATTGCTTCTAGACAGAAAAGGCCTTTCGTGTCATATTTTCTTGGTCTTTCTCTTTAACGATTGACTTTTTAGCTCTTTTTCTTTCTGACATTTTTTCTCCTTTTTTTTTCTGGTACTAGAGATTGAGCCCAGGGCCTCATGCCTTTTAAGCAAGTGCTGTACCACTGAGCTATATTCCCAACCCTTTTTATTATTTGCTTTGAGGCAAGTTCTTGCTGGACTGCCCAGGCTAGCCTCGAACTTGTGATCTTCCTGCCTCAGCCTGCTCAGTGGTTAGGATCACAGTCATGTGATATTGTGCCTGGTGACTCCTTCCACTCTTCATTTAATTTAAGGCATTGGTTACTTTATTTAAACTGGTTTTCCATGTGTATCTTTCCTGATTCTTTGTTCACTTTTCATGGCATTTGAAGATGTTTTCAATGGAAGTTGCTTGGAAAGGTGACTTGGCAGACTGGGGTTTGAGAAAACCGATGCTAAGCGATACTAAATCCCATCTGGCCAGCCTGATTTGGGAGAACAGGGAGTTTGAATCATCCCAAGCAGGGGAGAAAGGATGGAGAGTCCGGTCTTGGTTTATAACAAGTCCAGGTTCTCACGCTAATGAAGATCTTCTTTTGCTTCTCTTTGTGTTTCTAAGTTTCCCTTGTAATCTCCCATGTTGGGTCTTGGGGGAGTGGAGGACAGAAGTGTATCTCACTCTCTATCCACTGAAAGGTGGTTCAATAAATCATGGCTAAGTGATGAAAATGTCTATTTTTAGGGATTGTGGTTGTACTTGTTCTTCATTGGTATTAAAAAATCATTGTAGCTGCTTTGGGGGAAACTTTGAAGTACATTTTAATTACTCTAGACTCAGAGACCGAATTTCTTCCTACTGCTAATTTCAGGATTGCAAACTAAATGAGGACATAAATGGGGACTAAATGAGAGCTGGACATACACAGAGTCACAAGTTATAGTTAGCACATACGTGGGAGATGTCGCAACGTCGCATTTTAGAGCAGGATTTCAGCGGAGCCCAAGAACACTTTGAAACGATGGGCAGCGCTGTGTGTTGACATGCAGTTTTTTGGTGGTTTTTTTTTTTCTGGGACAGTGGATTCATATCAGTTATCAGATCCAAAACAAAGGAAGGGAAGAACTACTTCCCTGAGGGAAAGTCAGGACTCCTTAAAGCTCATGTTCCAACTTGCACTTTCAAAAACAAAAGCATTCTCAGCTACCCAAGTCAGTAAACTGGGGAATTTACAGCACAGATTCATGTTCTCGCACGCATTTTGGAAATGTATCATTCGTGGATTATGGAAAAGATAACAAGGGTACTTGGAAATAGTTAAGTGCCGTTCAACCTGTTAAAATGCCTAGAAACATAAATATCCCATATTTATTTTTCTTTCTTCTTCTTTTGTCGTACTGGGTATTGAACTCAGGGCCTTCACACTGAGCTAACCCTTTTCTTTCTTTCTTTCTTTCTTTCTTTCTTTCTTTCTTTCTTTCTTTCTTTCTTTCTTTCTTTCTTTCTTTCATCTTTCATTCTTTTGTTACAGGGTCTTTTGTTTGTTTGTTTTTTGAGACAAGGTCTCCCTATGTAGTTCAGTCTGGCCTTGAACTCGCTAAGTAGCCTAGGCTGGCCTCAACTTGCAGCGATCCTCCTGCCTCGGCCTCCTAGGTGCTGGGATGACAGACACGCATCACCATGCCCAGCTGGAGACTGGGTCACACTAAGTGGTTAAACTGCCCAGGCTGAGTTCAAACCTGCTCTTCTGCCTCAGCCACAGAAGTGCTGAGATTATTATGGGTATCCGCACCATATGTGGCTGTACCTTAATATTTTTGGACAGAGACAGCATCCCCTAGCTGGCTCTAGAATCTTATCAGGAACCAGTTAGAATGAAACAGTCAAAAATCTTGAGAAGACTTTGGAACAATCGGTTTTCTATTCTGGACCATAGGTGGGGCGGTGAATATGGAATGAAGCTCAGGCTTGGGGATACCAGCTCCAAAATTGAGTCACAGCCCTGCCTATCTTTGTTTGTAGAGCCTGCAAGAGTCCTTAACCTGTTCTGGAGCCCCTTTCTGAGAATGAGGGGTTGCACACAAGGTCTCTCCCGGGCCTGGTAGACAAGGATTCTAGAACTGCCAGCCCCAGGCCGAGTGCAGTGACCAGTGTGTGGTAGAGAGGGCGCGAGGACTGGCGTCTCCATTGCCTGCTCTCCTGGACAAACTGATGCTGCTAAGTCTTTGCAACTTGCTCTGTAAGAGGAAACAGCGACTCCCTCTATGTCCTGCCTCACTCTCCAGCTGCTCGGAGCAGTGTGACCTGTGGAGTCCAAGTTACAAGGTGTTGCGAAGGAAGGGAAAGGGCAGCAGGGTCCAGCGGATGTCTCGGGCGCAGATGGGCAGCCTCTGTCCTCCCTGGGCACTACTGGCCCTCCTGAGGCCAGGAGGAGGTCCTCCGGTGACCAGTGTTCCTCAGACCACGTGCTTGGGTATTTAAAAAATGTGATTCAGAGAAACAAATATCATGTCTTATCATAATTTTACCCCATTGTATTCTTTTTTTGTCGTTGTTGTTGTTTTGTATCGGCGATCGAACTCAGGACCTTGCGCTTGCCAGGCAGGTGGGGCACCACTGAGCAACGTCCCCGGCCCCCAGTTATATTCTTTATTCCACCTGTACAAATAATTCAGTTTATTTTTCAAACTTATATTCTTACCATCATAATTAACTTCTCTAAACCATGAGCAAGTTACTTTTCTGTTCACCCTTTCACATGCTTCAAGTTTGAATTAGTAAATGATAATTTGGGGAAATGGTTACTCAAATGCTAATATCCTGGCCCTAAAAATGCACATCCCAGACTACAAGACACATGGATGAATTGATATTGACAGCAGTGAACAGGGATTAGAGCAGTAGGCACTTCTGAGCAGCTGGAGGTACCAGACATGGTAGCAGGCCGAGCGACGCTGGGACCACTGTGCTGTGTTAACTTCCACGGAGAAGCTGCCAGTCTCCCAGGCTAGATCAGCACCCCACAGAGAATCATGGCCTTGTAGGAAAGAGTTAGAGGGACTTGGAAGATGGAGACATAATTCAGCATGGTTCTGGTGTGATGGCTTTACTTTTTTTTTTTTAAGTTAAAAAAATTTTTTTTGTTGTTTTTTGAGAGAAGGTCTCAATGTGTAGTTCAAACTGGCCTTGAACTCACTATTGCAGCCCAGGCTGGCCTCAAACTTGCAGTGATCCTCCTGCCTCAGCCTCCCGAGTGCTGAGATTACAGGTGTGCGCCACCACACCCAGCCCTGGCAGATAGCTTTAGCAATCCAGGGAAAGGGCAGGGCACTGAACCCGAAGGCTCTTGGACGTCCTCTCATGATGGCACTGCAAGCAGGAGTTCAGCAGGAAGTTGGGGACCTCCTGGCAGGAAGCTGGCCTGGAAGCAGGCTATCCTGTGAGGACTCAGCTAGGCTACCATGTGGGCGGAGAGGAGTCATGGCTGCAGGAGGGTAAAGCATCACAATCAGATCTCAGGGCACACACAGGCTTCCGGCCCTGCTTGCCCTCCGTGTATTTGTTTCCTATATGCTCCCTCTTCATTTCAGTTGTTGCACTTGTTTCTGACTACTTTGTTTTTATTCCATTTCTCCTTAATACAACCACTAGGGAGCCCAGAGGCACAGGCGTCGACTCAACCATCACTGATAAAAGTTTCCTTATTCCAGGCTAATGTAATATACCTGCTGTGCTTTCTTGTCTTTATTTCCTTAAGCTATATTTGCACTTGGACAATTCATATGAAATTGCTTTAGAGTTTGCTTTGTTCAAGCAGCAAAAATCTGTTGTTGGTTTAGTCTTCTCTTCATTAAAAATGCAGATTACATGGTCCCCAAGAATGAGGTCCCACAATCTTGTTAATACTGGTTTAAATACTTAAGAGACTTGTAAGACACTCCTCCTTCCTCCCCTTGGAAACTGGCGAATACACTTGGTGCCATTTTCTCCTTAAGAGACAGAAGAGCATCTTCTCTGTCCCCAATCCCAACCTGTTTCCCATTGCAGTAGCTCCACAGCCAACAAACACCCTGAAATATTTTGTTCCTGAACATCAAGCACTTTTCAGTCTAATCTAGCACCAAAGCCACACTACTCCACTAACTCACACAATTCCAAGGTTTAAGTACACTGTTTATAGAGAAATCACTCTCTGGAACAAAACAGAGTCAGGTACAAAAGGACCACAACTTGGATTAGTTCATTCCTGGCTCATGATTTTAGCCAGAAAAAAAAATTTTTTTTCCCCCTCTGTTTCTGCAGAGGATGAGCCAAAACTGGGCAAGAGTGAGCCCTTCCTGTTAATTCCTGTGGCTAAATATAGTCAGAAGGGGCCAATTGTAATCAGATGTGTCGCGGTGCTAGGGAG